TGGCGTCCAGATACACGGCAAATAGGTATAAAAGATTGGCAGGTGTCGATTTGGTGGTTGGAATCAACCAAATATACCCACATGGCGCTCATCCCAGTTTCACTCCCACCATTGCGTAGAGTAGCTGGACAGTGCTCACTTATTTTCTCAGACAGTTTCGTAGGAGTTCTTCCGATGTATTTTGCTCGACATGAACAAGAGAACGAATATACAAAGCAAGAAACACATGTCCAAGAAAGTCTGTCTTTGAGATGAGGCCTAACGATTGGTTTGAAGTAAAGCTTAGCCCCAAGCTCGCTGCGTAGTAGGTATGGCTCATAGCATCGGATAACCTTCTAGATATTGCCTGCGCTATACCATCCCCCTTGAATGACAGCGACAGATAAACCGGTTTCTTTTCTACCGAAGCTAGTTTAGCTCTCATTTCTCTGCACTCCATATATTTCCGATCAAATTTTCTGGATGGCCATTTCTCACGAAAACGTCCCTTAAGAAACTGAGCTCGTACGCAAGTGTGTCCTCACTACAAATCTTTCCGACCCTTCCGGTTAGACATCTAATCAAGTAGCGTTTCTGATTTATTGGGACAAAACTGGCAATATGTAGATATTGTTCGTCCCACATTGCTTTTCATGGCACTCTCCATGGGACCGATCCATCTGGCCTTTTACTAAGCTGAACATCTAGGAAGGACATCGCGTTTCCAGGGTGAACTTGGCATTAGAGTGCGCTGAGTTAAAATGGGATAAAATTATCCCATAGGCAATTGTCCAGTGGTAGGAGCAGTGGTATGAGCAAAACTGTGATGAGCGCCGTGATGGCACACTTGGTTGATTCTAATCACCAGATCTAGAATGAGTTGTATACCCTGAGAATCGTCACCAAGTAAGGCGATATCATCAGCATAATCTAAGTCAGTCGCGCGCTCACCCGGTAGAAGCTTTAGGCCAAAATGTTGGAAACCTTCTAGAGCACTCGACAAACGTCTTCAATTGCGAAGTTGAAGAGGAATGGGGATATAGCGTACACACCGCTATTGACAATGAGGTAAGCTTGCAGTTGACCCTCACTCTGTCAGATGTATGAAGGTAAAGTGCATATAAGATGGAGATATACTTCATTGATACCCCGTTCTTTAGCAAGCAACGCCATAGAGCAGATCGATCAGCAAAGTCCACTACAACATGTATGTCTAGGGGTGCAACAATAGTGGACCTGTGATAAATGTGCCGATGTTTGGGGAGTTGGCGCAGCGTGAAGATTTGATCCACGCATCCGCGGCCGGGACGGGAACGTGCTTCACGGTAGTATAATTCACCTATTGGGGATAGTCTACGGAGAAGAATAGTTGGCAATAGCTTGGTGGCAACCGAAGTAAGACTAATCCCGCGATTATTTACACATGAAGTGCGAGCGCCTTTCTTAAAAATCGGGACAATGACTGATTCTCCCCAAGAGGAAGGCACTTTCTCTTCATGTCAGGTTTTTCGAACAGCGACGTCAGCTGCTTAATGATCGCCACGTCGCCATATCTGAACCACTCCGGAGGAAGTCCATCTGAGTTGGCAGTCTTAAACTTCTTCAAGCGTCGAAACTTGAGACAGACTTCCGCTTCGTTGGGTGGATTCACTGGGACGAGCCAGGGTGGACAACAAGGTGTACAGCATCTACTGATGGACTGTGGAGGCCAGTTGAATTGCGAATGAAACTGCTCGGCCCAGCCGTCCATACGCCTATGTTGGTTAATGATCGGAGACTCATCCGCCTCGCAAATAACCTCACTGCCACCAGGCTTCCTGAGGCCAGCGGACCAAATGAGTTGGAAAAGCTTGCGAATGTTGCCAGAGAGGGCAGCGGTCTCCATCTCTAAAGCACGCTCAGACCACCATGCCTCGCGATGTTTTCATAAGCTTTGCTTGAGCAGTCGGTTGTCAGAGCGGCGTCGCTCATTGCAATCTGATTCCGCCAGGTATCTTTACGGCGGTTGAACAGCTCCAGACAGCGAGCAGAGATCCGAGTCTTTAAGGCGCTTCGAGTTAGGCCGCAGCATGACTGTTCGGAAATGGTCATCGCTTTATATCTTGCGATGGATTGCAACAGTTCGTATGTTTGTGAAGACTGATAGCTCGCCTGGACGGAGAAATCGGTTAATCTGTTTACATCAATCTTGCGGTGCTTCGTGTTTCGGGACCCCTCAAAACACATACAGATTTTCGCGCCGACCAGTGCATGATCTGCGTCAACGAAGATGGACCAAAAGGACCTGCAGTCCACTACGCTGCCACGCCATCTGAAGCTAATTGCAATGTGATCAATGTGAGACCACGATTGTGTTGGGGAAGGGGAACGCCACGTTGCCGGACGCGTCTTCGTACGCCTGCACTTAGTGCTCGAAAGAAACAGACGGTTGTCTTCGCACAATGTGAGAAGCCTCTCTCCGTTATCAGAGCGGTTCTTATCGAGCGCGGGGTGACCACTCAAGGTGGCGTTCGTATGGTGGTAACAGGCAGACAGCCCGTGCATTTAAATCCCCAGCAAGGATAACGACATCCGACGTTTTAGCATTAGTCAAGAGCTGATGTAGATCCCGGTAGAATTCCTCCTTGACAGAGCCGCCGCTGCAGTCATTTGGAGCGTAGGCGGAGATCACAAACAAGTTGCGTCTCTCATCGCGTTGCTTGTTGATTCTACATGAACCCCGAAGCCGAACTGCACATAGTCGGCTGTTAATCGGGAACCAGTCCAGTAGTGCCGCCTCGGCCTACACCAGCCAAACGCGCTGAGACTGCTTCTGGATTTCCAGAAAGACGCAGATGATATCTGGCTTCGTTGTCAGTGTAAGGACAGTGCTGGGGGTCTTACAATCGGGTTTCTGAAAAGCAGCATACGTTGATATCCAGGTACCCTAGGGTGCACGCTAGACCAGCTTGCTTTCCAATCTGCATGAGTGTCCGAACGTTGAAGCACACCAGACGGAACGAGTATCGGGAACGAAGGAGAACCATGGGTTGAGCTCCGTGGTTCGCGGCGTAACCCGAATCGCAGCCAGATTTTTGAACACATGAATCGAGTAGCGGAAAGTGCGGATTGTTAACAAACAAACAATTGGTGTGTGATGGTCGCGTGAATGTGAAAAGCAGAAACCGTAGCCGATGAGCACGTTGTGTAACAGTCCATGGTTTTGTGAGAGAGAAATATACTACCCGGTTACCCCAGCCGAATTAAGGGACCACACACCTAGCCTTTGGCTTAATAGCCTACTGCTTGGCAGCGGGGCCAATTCAGGAAATCGCGCCCATTAGGAGTCGGTGAATGAATGTTCAGTTCATGCATTTTTGTTTGGTAGATCCCCAAACAAGGGCCAAATACTCCCCATGAAATTAGCAGAATTGCTTTACTACAATGCCCCACAGAGGTGGAGCACTATCGCCGAACACTTCGTTGGAACGATGTACACCGGAACCACCTAGCTGACATTACGAGGAGGTAGTTCGGTAAGCCAGCCGTGACAAGTGTACAGAATGCGAATCACATACCGTTCACGCGAGTGGACCTCAACCGCTCGGACAAAACGACAGCACATGATTGTCGCGACAAAGCCTGGATCAAGTTCATTGTGGACCCAAGCAGAGCATTAGTGACTTCGACCGAACTGGGTGGATGCACAATGCGCGCGAACTAATGAACCTAGAGAGATTTCATGCGACGCATAAGTGCTAATTGGCGAGTGGGATGCTGTCAAGTGAATAACACTTCACCTTTTTGTACGCTAAATGTGATTTTGTGCTTCACAAATTACACAACAATTTGTCTTGACTCTCGAAAGGAAAATCGACCGTGTCAACAATAGCCAGTTGCGCATTTGTGCACTATAACAAAACGATCAGGACAACTCGTTATATCAACGAAACTGGATAAGGAAGTTGTATGTGCCTCTAAATGGTTGTTGTGGAGTTCATCCTATCTAGACTTTGTCAGGCAGCCATCACACATCCTGAAAATCATTAGGCGGCCATGTCATATTTTCGAGAATCCTCAGCCGTACACATTCGATCCATGTTTCAGTGTAGGGGTAGAACCCGCGGCCGTGCTCTGACCAATCCATGGTTAGGACTACTGGGTCACGGGGAGAGGCTATAACATGGCGACGTTACTAGACGTGGTATCGGGGTCCGGTAAAATAAGCACCGCTGATGATTCTTGAAACGGCTACTCAGTTCAGTTCCTTTCCCGACGTGTGTTGTTTTTCTGCCTGACTCTAGATGTGCTGAATTCAGCCTAAGACTGAGTAGGTTTCTTGGGTACGGTTCACTTGTGTTCGCTGTATGCTTACCGAGGAGATTGTTTTGTATACTGGACGGTGCGTGGCATTAAGTTCGATATAGTCAGTCACTGTTTGACATCGGGGATTGATATTGCTAGCCACTGAAGTGAGGACTGGCGCTTTAGTTTGGAACCCGCGCCACTCATCATGTGTTTGACTCCAAGCGTTAAACGACAATTCGCAGCCGATATCAGCAACTGAATTACTGTCGTCTCTTATCCGGACCATCTGTTTAATATTAGCTTGAGGCTGAAATATCTGCGAAGTAAAACAGCTTATGACGCGGATCAGTGAAACTCTGATGGACCCTGTCTTACCGAAATGCCATCTTCGCGCGAAACCGAACTGTTTGTGACCGTATCACTGGCGTAATGTCGACGTCTAAACCAAGAATGTTTGCTATGTGTAGTCTTTACACTAAATCCCCCTTCTCTCCATATTATTCCTCCTCGTTGGGATCTCTTTTTAGTTGCGTCTGTATAAATTGTCGATGAGGATAATACAGAATGCTTTAGGTTTTTATCATATTAAAGTAGCCATTGTCAGTTAACACTGCTTGAGATTGTATCCCACCCCCATACTTCCCTCGATGTCATGCAATTTCTGTGCGATCTAGAATGTTCTTGATGAAGTGAGCTTCAAGCGGCGCATCAAAACGCGCACTGTTGTCTTGCGCATGTCAACTCTCACGGAACATTTATGTCTGTTTCAGATATGTCGCGAAGAATTCATCGCCCTTCACAGCGAACCAATTTTGCACAACTTCGCAGAGTATTTGCGGCAAAAGTTTGCTTACACCCCCGAGTAAGTTCACCACCCATCCATTTTTCCACTGTGAATTTTTAGGCTTCTTTCTACTGTAGACTGTCGATTATTCGGCCCTTGGCTTAAAAGTTCACAATCATGTCTTGTAATCCGAGGGTACGGGTTTGAACCTGCGTAGGGGCGACGTTTGCACTATCCGTAGCCCATGTGCGACTGTTGATAATTGCGCGGCAGAGAAGCCTCGGTATACTGCTGATACATTTTATCTTGTTATTACTTTTACCCCAGTGAAATATCCCAAATGAGCTGTGAACTCAAAAGATCCAAGGCACTATCCTTCAACGCACTCCTGGATCGTGTTCCGAAAGCTGGTGAGCAAATTGTTCCTTCGTTAATCTGAGGACACTATAGCTTAACTTTCACAATTCTTTCAGTCGTTCATGCCGCCCAGTTGATCCGGTCGGTTGGCATCATACCTGTTGTTCCCACAATTAGTCGGGTCGAATTTCGGTTCTCCCAGGTCGTATGCAACGTCATCTTTCCTCCCTACTATTACGCACCTAGCCACTCTGAAGCATTCTACACCGTCTCGGTTCGGTGATCACTGTGTGGATTATTCATACCGGTATCCATCTCAGATCGGTTTATGGATAGCTCAGGGATCCGGCTGCGTCGGGTCACTCTTGATTTCGCGACGTCCCACCATCTTTTTGTCGCTTTTTCTTGGTTTAGCACACTCAAATAAAATTCGGGCATTCGTCCTGAATTGAGCAGGACAGTCTCGTATTTCAAGCTGTCGACCCCGGTTTTTTAACAGTGCTGGGCGGAACCTACTGATGTTCCGCGTGGAGTTCGGCGACTTCTAAATGTCCAGCTTTGAGAATGTAGAATGTAGTTGAAAAAAGTACAACACCAGTCATTGGGCGAGATAATCGACTGCGTGAGTGGGCGACGCTGCAATTGGATGTTTTGCGACAATATAAAAAAGAGGAGAAAAGCAAGGATGAAAATTTTATGTCTAGTGGTGAGTGTGCTCATTTCGTACAATTTGGTGGGAAAAGTATGTCTAAACAACCGTTTAAGATGACTACTCAGTTGGAGAGCGATTTTCCATTCAAAGATTCACGTGTTCGATGTGACACATACAAATCCGTATTTCCTATTGCTCACCGTGGCAGCTCAGATGTCACCAAGGAAGTAAAATCGAATCACCATAAGGTAGCAGTGTCTGCGGCAGCATCTTCTACCCCCTTAACTTATTAGCTCTGATCAGTAGCGTATGGGAACACAGGAGCCAAGTTGGCACTGCAAAAAATACCTTCGCATAACACACTGTGATCCATAACCACAGTTTCCGCTTAATGAATTAGACCAGCAAGTTGATAGATAAAATTGTTTGAACCAACGTTTGCTTATGCCCTCTCGAAATGTGAGGCAATAATAACTGATATCCTGGTCAAATTTGCCAGGGACTAGCTACAAGAAATGTTGGAGAAGGCAAAATTCGTGTCATTCCACACAAACGCCTTAAACCACAAGGAAGTAAAGGTGTCCCCAGTGAAACAATACATGTAGACATTTAGCTTTTCAGGTTTTTGTGGGGTCTGCATATGCTGAGACAATGAGGAGGTAGGTTAAGTGTCCCGCTTTGGCTCGCGAAATATCTGGCCGCCTTAGGGATACGTCATATTCAGCCCACTCCCAATAGTGATATTCTGTTCACCGTTGAAAGCACTAAATCTTAAACGCCATTTTCTTGTTACTTTTCACCAGGCACCTTCGATTTGAACGAGGTCCGCAATTCAACTTACTTCTTCAGCTGATCCCAGGATTTTGCGCCACGCGTTCCTTCGGGTACTCGGATTCCTTACGACCGTCCCGTGTGACTTCATCTCTCCCGATTATCTGCCACTCTTTTAACTACCTTATTATGGTTTGAGCATGTTAGAGATGCTTTAGCACTTGTGCAATTTTTTTTATCGAATGTTTTCGATAGATTTCTTTGATGGAGCCGTCTTCTACACTGGAGATTAGAGGTTCACGTACGTTGTTTGGTTGATACTACCGTGGAATATGCTTTCGTTTGAACTTCATGGGCACATGTTTATTCCAAACTACATCTGTGCGTATGTTGACGCAAACCACATTAAGGTTGGCATACCCACGGTGATACTAAAGAAACTATTGCTCAGATGCACGTTCAATGTTCAGTTACTATTCAATGGCGAATTATACCGGCAGTGCGATAGGGTAGCGATGGTTTCCCCACTGGGTCCGTTCCTCTCCGACGTCTTCATAGTCATGCTGGGACAGGGAAAGCTAAAGCCGACAATCTCAACTCTCTGCTTATATTATTGTTGGGTAAAGGACATTTTTGTCTTGCTTCAATCGTCTCGGAGTATCGAGGAATTAACACACACGTTCAATCAAGTCCATCCAACAATAAGGTTCACCTGCGAAGTTGAGGAAAACAGTCACTTTCCTTTCCTCGATGTCGCCGTGAAAAGACTGCATGGGGGTGCGTTACAGCGCTGCTTTCATAGGAAAAGTACGTGGAATGGACAGGACACAGGCTTCTACAGCTTTGTGCCACCTAGGTTTAAACGGAACTTGTTAACTACTCTAATGAGTCGAGCTGAACCTAACTGCTCGAACGACACGCTTCCAAAGGAATTGGAGTGCATTTGCTTAGTGCTAAGCGAGATTAGCCATCTGGAGAGATTCATCAAAGCCAATATGGAACATACGAGGAAACAATTTGTATTTTTGACTATAATGTATGCTATTCTTTCTACAGCTACCATACAAGGGCGAGGTTGTGAGGGGACCTCTATGTAGTCGTCCTTCGTTTTCACTCAGGAGCACCCAACCGGCAGCGGAGATGCAAATTCAGTTCACTAGCATTCCGATGATGAGGCTAAACTCAAAGCATAAGAGGCCTGTCTACACTAACTCAGTGTGTATTCATGCTCCTGTGTAACGGAATATGTTGGTTGTACGACTAGGCGTCTAGCTGAGGAAATGAAAGAACACCATCCGATCGGGCTTAGAACTAGAAGCATAAAAGCAGCTAATTCTTCAATAGCCGCGCATATACCTGATACAGCGCACACCACAAATTTCACCGATTCTTACAAAATTATCTATCAGGCCCCAAAGAACCGCTCGAGGTACGTCCGCAAGCGACTACTAGAAGCCGCTGAATCAATTGCAACCCTGCTGTACATACCGGAATTATATGTTCAGAAGAAGCTGGCTAAATGCTTGGGACTACCGTGGCCCAAACAACTGGTGACCTCTACCCCGCGAGGTCACAAGCGGTCGATTGTTTTGAATCAACAGACAGCACGGTTAGCATCCAATTAACTAACTATGAGTAACCACTTGTAATCTCTATCCGTACATTTTGCTTTGCATACGTATACATACTGCAGCGTCACTGGAGAAAACATAAGTGAAGTTTGCGCTTTTGCATAACTACGATTTCTATGGGGTGAGCTTAGCGGTTCCTTGCACAGTTTGAGCCGCCCCATGATGACAGTATCATTGAGATGAACTCACGCCAACTCTGCGCAAGTTTTGCGGAACTATGCAACCTTCACAACACGTTTGTGACACGATCGCAATATGACATAGGATATAAGACGTGAAGTCGGGTGTTTTACGGGTGTTTCGTAGTAGATATCACGCTCGGGATCAGCCAATTTCGCATGTGATTATTCCTTATCCGGCACCCGTGTGTTCCAGCCCCTTACCTTTACGCCGTGCTTGTCCATCTAATGATGTGGCCCACTTTCCATCGAGGTCCCGGTTAGCTTAGATTGTTCCCCCATTTCCCACGCTTCCGTGCACCACCAAAAGTCGGTTGGTGTGACACTTGATTGCCATGTAATCGGCGTTGGATAGCCGCTCCATCTTTTCGTGCGAAATCACGCCGGTTACCACCGCTCCGCACGTCGTGGTGGTATCAACTATGTAGGTGTGTCACCAAGCTGTCGCATTTTTTATTTCTGTTTGTCTGGCATCTTGTAGCTAACCATACCTAACTCCCCATTCAGCTCGAAAAGCTGCAGTGGAAAAGGGCCGCTTCCTTGTTCAGGTGACAACCTTGATTTTGGCGTGATAACTGGATTTTTGGAGTGCTATATTTTGAGTTTTTTTTGGCTAAAATGTCGTGAAAACAGTATTTGAGTAAACACGAAACAGAATTAGGATGTTGTCAATATTTTTCTCACTGTTACCATCACATCTAAGTGCGTGGATTGTGTTGTCATCCGCCCAATAGCCGTCCAGTGTGTTCTTTGCGAGAGCTGGATTCACATGGTGTACTGCAACATTGATTATGATCTTTACCAATCCATTCAGCGCACTGCTTCCAAAAGCATCGGCTTTCACTGCAACCCGTGTCTAGCATTAGTTGACGACAAACATCTGATGAATCAACGCCCTTTAATCTACATACTGCTTCTTCAGAATCCGTGTCGAATTCTGAAGATGATGCTCCCGTTTCATCAGTGTACCCTCCCGTATCTGGGTATTCCACATCCAGAGTGAAACGGAGCCTTGCATCCTCCATTACAAAGTAACAGCCACGTTAGACATAGTTGTTTACAAGCATAAAGCAGTTAGCGCTTTTACACCTCATGGTCAAACAGTATAATAGTCTTGGACTAGATGAATCAGTAGGAGAACATGATTAAGGCAAACTCGGACTCCAAAAAGCCAACTAATCCTCCAGGAATTAGATCACTTTCCCGCGAGCGCTGTCTACTATATTCACTACTTCACCACCATGCCTTGTCCGGGACAAAATGGCACTAGAAAGGGTGTTGCGTTTCGGTATTAGGTTGGTCAAGGGACTACGAGGGCAAACGTACCCCGAACGCCTACTTAGTTTGGGGATGCAGTCAATGCATTATGGAAGGATTAGAGGGGACCTAATCCTAACCTACCGTATTTTGACTGGGAAGGTTGGCCCTGATTTGTCCTGGCTGTTTAGTCCTGCAAGATTATCTGGTCTCCGCGGACATTGTATGAAGCTGGACAAACCGCGGTCTGATCGAGTTAGAGCGGAGACATGGTTCTCACGTCGAGTCATCGAGCGCAGGAACCTGCTTCGTTCCAGTCCTACTTGACCTTGAACCAGCTGAAATAAAGCTATAAATAAATGTACGTTAACTTGAAGAAACGCTAACGTGAAAAATCTATGAGCATTTACATACGCGTATAGATGCAAGGCGGCAGAGCCTATGGTGCGCTGAGGCTGGTGGTGGCTAGATCCTGACAGATGGTCTACCCACTGCTGCTACTGCTGCGCCATAGTCTCATGTCCTGGCGCCTCCACGTGGCGACCGCTGGGTGGGAGTTAGGTTTCGCCCTTCTCCCTGCTAAGATCCAGGACACCAATCCGCATGAGTCAGCTAACTGACCATGTGCTAGACCCGCTGCCTTTCGGGTGTTCATTTAATCGAAGGCTTTGGCTGAGGACCCGAGTCGTTCTCCTGTCAGGATTGGGCGCCCTGGCAGTATCCTAGTCCATCCTCTCCGGAAGGTTAGGAAGTGGTCGATGGCCCACTTCCCGTAAAACCTAGCCATGGGAGACAACAGGTTTACGGGTGATATTCTCAATGCTCGATTGGCGTAGAGCACGAGTGCCACGCATTGTCTCTGACGGTGGGAGGACACCTCCGGGTGTTCAATGGTTTGCTACTGCCCGCCTCAAGCCAGGCAGCCCCTGGTCAAATTGGTGCAAACCCGCCAAAAACCCACCTGCGTCTGGCCGTGGTCGCAGGTGCGTATCCAATTACGGTCGCAAAACATATGATAACTGTTCCAGAACCTCAAAGGCTGCGTGTGGACGGCCGTCAAGCAGATCCCAGTCTCTCTCTGCAATCACATTCCGAGCTGGATCTGCTCCCCACTGCCTTGTGGGTCAGGCTATTGAGCCAAATGCTCCGGGTGGAGTCCCTCAAGCAAACCTCCCAAACCACCCACTGCCTTGTTGGTCAGGCTATTGAGCCAAAGGCTCCGGGTGGAGGTCCCTCAAGCAAACCTCCGAAGCACAACGACCACCTCGCGTGCGATTGCCCACCAATGCAATCGTATGCCTGCGCGCAAAGCACTCAGCATCGGGTGCTGGAACGTGCGCACACTACTGGACCGGAACGCCAGCGAGCGCCCGGAGCGACGCACTGCACGGGTCGCAATGGAGCTGGCGCGCTACCACATCGATATTGCGGCGCTCAGTGAAACTCGGCTCGCTGAGCAAGGTAAGTTACATGAAGCAGGTGCTGGCTACACATTCTACTGGGTGGGCAACGCGCCTCAGCACCACGTGAACATGGGGTCGGATTTGCAATATCCGACCGCCTGAATGGACAGCTGTTGGGTGAACCAACGGGCATCAGCGCGCGGCTGATGACTGTTCGCTCACGACTCAGAAGAGGTAAGTTTGCCACTTTTATAAGCACGTACGGTCCGACCATGTGTTATCCTGATGACACGCGTGATCAGTTCTACACTGAGCTATCCTCCGTGATACGGTCTGTGCCGAGGAACGACCGACTATTTCTGCTGGGTGATTTCAACGCGCGCGTTGGGCGTGATGCATCAGCGTGGACAGATGTTATCGGTGCGCATGGCATTGGTTCAGCGAATGCGAACGGTGACAGGCTGCTCTCACTGTGTGCCACTCACGGCCTGACGATCACGAACACTCGGTTTGCACTGAGTGCGAGTGATATAGCAACTTGGACGCACCCACGGAGTGGTCACGCTCACCTGCTCGACTATGTCATCGTACGTCAGCGTGATATGCGTGAAGTGCGCATGACACGTGTACTGCGTGGAGCTGAGTGTGGCACTGATCACAAATTGGTTCGGACCAAACTGTACATATATTTTCGTAAAT